ACAATTCTGGCAAATCAATTTCACTATTTAAAGACAAATCACAAACTTGCATATTTTTAATAGCATAACAATTTAGAGCAAAAACAGAACCCATTGTCTTGATTGACAAATTTGTTAACTTTCCGAAACAACCTAGTTGGCACATCAGTTTTAGGGTACAAAATGATATACTAGAGCCAGGATCATAGAAGGCATAAGTTGTTACAGAATTAATACCATTTCTCATCTTTACTCGTACTGGTAAAATTGCCATTGTGCAAAAATTAGCCCCGGCCTCCATATGATGACCAGCTGATGAGACATGATTTTGACCCTCTTGAATTTGATTAGAATTATTAACAATATTTGGATGTAAAATCACATTGTGAAATTCATTACATTGAGGACATTTTGATTTTTTACTACAACGTTCTAAAACGTGACCTGGACGTAAACAACTAAAACATAACCTTGCCTGTCTTACAAAGTCAAATTTTTCATTGAATGCAAGAGCACTTAAAACCTTACAGACACACAAGGGATGCGATGGGTGTTTACAATACAAACAAGGCCTTTTATATGCTATATCATAAGGTATGAACTTATACTGATTTACAGGGAGACTTTCATGAGAGCGTGGGCTAGAGCTAGTTGCAAATGATCCTCTTGGTTGAATATAACTTGGTCTAGAATGACGACTTGCAGTCGATTACTACTACTACTACTACTACTCTTGGATCGGTCACCAGAAAGAGATAATTTTCCATAAGTAGGATCATTTGCCTTAGATGCCTCTGCTTTCACCAAGTTTACAAGTAGTCCGAAATGCACGCATCTTCCCTGTTCCTTGGTATTTTGATAAATGTTCCGCCATTTATCATGAATGTAATAAGGAAGCTTTTGAATTATCTTTTTCAGGTTTTCAGAGTATTCTAACACACGAATAGAATTATTTGACCTTAAAGCATGAAAACATTCCACTAAGAAAACTGACAAATCTTTCAGTCCCTTCGGGTCATCCGATTTTACTGTGGGCCACCAGCGGGCTTTCTCTACATATCTATTCGCGATCACTTCATCATCCCCGTACTTCTCTTCAAGGACTCTCCAAGCTGTACGAAAGGCTCTATCAGCTGGTAGGTGACTGTAGCTTTTAACGTCGTTATTGGCCTTATACCCTGTAAACTGGTCAAGATAATTTAGCCGTTCGTCATCGGTTTCACAGTTCGGCAGAACCACACTTTTAAATTGTCTTATAAACCTGTGGTAGTCCAATACATCCCCTTCAAAGGGGGTTACTCTTACTGTTGTTTTTTTTATTTGTCGAATCACAGACGTTAATGTTTCCTCAGTACTCTGCTGAGTATAAGGTCTCTGATCATATAAAGGTGTTTGCAATGTAGCGTAAAAATCTTGCGAGGGATAATCACCACCACCATTGGTAACTCTAGCTTGCGAGAGATTTCTGTTCTCACGAGTAAGTTCATGCTCCATCAACAACTTTAATTCCTGTTCCTTGAAGGATAATTCAAGCTTCACAGTATCTATTTCCCTCTGTTTATGAACGATATCTATTTTCGCAGCAAGTTTTTCATCAAAACTACCATTACAAGTGGGTCTGTGTAGATCAGGACGCAACGGAGAAATTGCACCATTACAAGCACCATCACTGGAACCGAACAGGGATTCAGATTTTGAAGTACCACTCTCCATCCTGAGCCCAACACAACAGGCTATCACAACATATAAGTCTATGTAGATCAAAGTCGCATCAGAGAAATTGCACCGCTACATCATAAGCACAACAGGGATTCTCATTTTGAAGTACCACTCTCCATTTCCCAACTTGGGCCCAGACCAGCAAAAATGTCAATGCATGTAACACGCACTCATTTTAATTCAGTTTTTAAAATACTTTAATTCTCTAAATTAATTCTCCAAGGCAGCATGTTTAATGTTTAATGATTGATGTTTAATGATTGACTGAAAAATACTATAATACAACAATAAATATCTGTTATAAATAAAACTAATATGACAGGTAGGGTGAACCTGTAAAGCCTTCTATTGGAATTCAAAACATAGCCTAGATAGGCCTAGCTTCGCACTGAGTGAGAAACATTAATTTGGCACTTGCAGTAGGACATAAATAGCTGTATGGCCGTCAGTTTGCAATTCAGGCCGTAGCCTAGATAGGCCTAGATCTGCACTGTGTGAGAAACGTTACTATTGTACTTGCAGTAAGACACAAATAATCAATAAGCCTTAAAATACTACAATAATGTATAATACTATAAACGGTAACAACATCGTGCGTGAAACAAAACATTTTAACGGAATTACGACTTTGGTCATTACTGCGCCAAAACCCCTAAAACGCTGGGCAGAGCAACACAGACTTGACTTACATAAAACTGGCTGTTTTGGGGGACATAATTTATGTAGCTGACCTTAAAGCAATAAAGGGTGTAAGTGTAAGGTGTGGGCCTTAGTTTGCATTGTTTCTCACCATTTTGTATGCTGATCTGGGCTCCAAGAAATCTACCAACAAATTTTAAGTCATGGCGTCTCTCTAAGCAGACACAACAGCCTCGATTATCAAGACTTAAATATGACTAAACAAATTACATTAAATTTAGACTGGGCAATCAGGTATCTGTTACAGAAGCCCGCGCAAAATATTGGTCTCATACAAATTTCGCACTTAAAAAATATTGCGAATTACATATGTGGAACGAAATAAGAATTTGCGTCTTACACTACCAACAACTGGACCTGTCACAGCAAGAATGTAATATACCTTCTCACCTGTAATGTATGTCACAAACAATATGTAGGCGAAACCAAAAGACTGTTCTGCATTGGGCTGAAGGAACACTATGCTGATATTACCCACAGGAGAGACACCCCAATCGCCTCCCACTTCCATTTACCCAGACATTCCAATCGAAACCTTGTCTATCAAATAATTAAACAACTTGGCACAGACCCTGAGCTATATACTTCTACTACCAATAGACGCACAATCGAATTACATTGGATTATAAGATTAAAAACCACACGGTATCAACGACAAAATCTGAACTTAGGCCCCCCCCCCTTTATTATCTTTGTTTTACAACCCTCCCCACTGGGTGTCCCAACTTTGGATCTTTTTTAGCCTCCCAACCCCACTTTAGGTGCCACCGTGCTACCTCTTTTATACTATTCCACGTTAAGTTACTTACTATTACGTCACAATACGATACCCGACGTCATAGCAACTCTTCTACCAAAATGGCCGCTTGCCACATCTGTGGGAAAGTCTTATCCAAGAAATGCCATGTCCTCCGACATCGAGACATGCGGCACCCAGGTTTACATGCGCCCTCTGCAGTAAATCCTACAGAAGGTCAGAATATCTTCAGAAGCATAACTGCAAGATAAGCGAGACCAGCTCCAGCAAGTCATCACCACCACTATAGGGGATCTAGGTACCACCAACCCGGCCATCAGTTTTTCCACGGAAACTGTACGTGTTGTATAACCCCTCACGTGTGGCCCCACTACAATCTACTACCAGATCCCACGCCACCTTACACCGTCAGGGGCACCGTTCCCATGTTTCAGAAACTGGGATCACAACATCTCCACGAGCCAGTTAGCAGCAGAAACTTGGGACACAGTCTGCTCCAGCCGCAGTGACATCTGGAGGAACAGAAACCCGTCCACTGACACGTTATTCAGAGTCAACAATGAACCACAACTGCAACAAGAACTCGAGCGAGACCCGACGCTCGCGTGCCAACTGACTCAACTTGATTTCGAACACTCCTCTTTTATTTCTGGTCTAATAAATTAATCATCTATATTATTTTTTTTCTTTCCTATTCTAGCCTCAAGGGCCCCAGACCCTACCCGGACTTGCTTTCCCCTTTAAATCCAACCAGTCTGAAGAGTTCAATACGAACGAAACTAGTCCCCTGGCTTTGCTTTAGGTTATTCCTCAATCTAGCCATAATACCGAACCCCGATATTTGGCACACTCATAAACCCCGCCATAATACCAAACCCCAGGATCTCGCCAACTCTTGAACCCCGCCATAATACCAAACCCCGGTAATACAACCCTTGGCAACCTCGCCATAATACAAAATCTCGGTAATACAACCCCGCCAAAATACGCCAAACCCTGGTAAAATAACCCCGGCAACCCCGCCAAATTCTTTTACCGGAGTCCCGGAATAGTATTAATAGAACTTCACTTTTTAAGTCCAACCAGTCTGAAGCGTTCAATACAAACGAAACTAGTTACATTACAAAACTTGGGATAATTGGAAGAATCGCCCATTTCTACCTTTTGATAAAAACATATATTTAGAGTTACATCCAAATCGGATAAAAACTGTGGCCTCTAGAGGGTCCACAACCTTGATATTGCATATTTTTACACTATTTGTGTATAAGGGGCGGCCCTTATGTCTGTCAGTTTTTGTCTGATTTTTTTACGAAATTCGAACTCAACCATCATTAGTGTATAACTGTGATAAATTCACTTTTTCTTTTTGTCTGGCTGTCTTGGTTCGATTTTCACAAAATTCGAACTCAACCACCATTAGGGTGTAACGGTGATGTACTAAAAAGTTTTTTTTTTTAAATCGGATAAAAATTGTGAGGTCTAGAGGGACCACAAGCTAAAAACGCGATTTTTTGTACAATCAGGGGCCATAATTCAGGAAGTTATGATTCACTATTCGCGAATATCGAAAGGATCAAAATTGTGACCTGTAGGCTGTAGAGTGTCCACAAGCTAAAAATGTGATTTTTCGTACAATCAGGGGCCATAATCCATGAAGTTATGGTCCGATAAATGCCAATATCGAAAGGAATCACGATTTTGGAGAGATAGACCTATATTTCAAGATTTGTCAAAATCGGAAAAACAAATTGTGACCTGTAGAATGTCCACAAACAAATTATGGACGGACAGGGGCGACGACAATATACATCCCCATGAAAATGTGGGCGAAAAAAAACCCATATACACTTGGATAAAGTTTATAATTTAACTAATACATGGAAAGATATGATCATAACCAGATTATTCTTCTAATAAGTAAGCTGTAGGTGACATTTCCTATTCCTGGAAAATAAACTACTTATAATGCAGTAATGATGGGTTGGTCTGTTGTCCATAGATACCACAACCTGCGTTTTACTTTGATTTGGCTGCCGGTGACACAGTTGGTGACGGAATTACAGGCTGAAATAATGAAAAGACAATGCGACATCAGTGAAATGCGGGCGTATACAAAAATGAAATGAAATGTCGTTTAACGTGGTACTGTTCTGCTCTGACTAGACTAATGAAGACGGGCATACGCCATACAGTGTGCTATGATGAGGGCACTTTTGCCCGGACAGCGGCACTATGGCCCACTGTTACATCGATTTCCAACTGCCAAGGGATCTTTTAGGCCTTTGCTAATGTATACACGATACCTTAGTTTTGCGTCCCATCCGAAAGACTAGACAGCACAAGGAAAATCCCAATGAACTTTCTCGTCCAATGTAGGGATCGAACACGCGAGCCAGCGTCTTACCCACTTAGCCACTGTGGCTCCGTCGGCGTATACAAACAAATCGGCACCAACGATTAGTAGTAACATGACTAAAACAGTATCTACGGTTACCCTGGGTCCTGTTTCTCGAAATCTTAACTAAAGATAAAATCCAAATTTTAGTAGATACTTCAATTTTGATTGGCTAAGAACTAAAATCAATCTAATATTATCCAATCAAATTACTAAAATTTGGATTTTATCTTACTTAAAATTTCGTGAAACCGGCCCCTGGTCGGCAACCATTAAAACAACCACCAACAGGTTAGCGAAAGAGTGGCATTTCGGATTCTGACTCATCCAAGCTCTTTTGGTCCCTAAAAAGGAGAATGCTATAGTAAAAGTTTAATTTTATTATTTACTAATAAGTTCACTGTATAACGCATTTCAGAATTCTTTTAATTTTTTGTTTTGTTTTTAGTAACAAATCGTAACAATTTCACCCGACAATTAATGAGCTGAAGCCAAATCATGTGACACGACAACATAGACAATACTCATGCATTTTCCATATTATCCGATATATGGCATCGACAGAAAGTGACAGCATGTCAGACAATGTTATCGCTATGAATGTTCTTCCATATCAGTACGAGCCTAGTTGTAAATGCCTGTGACGATGATGGTTCAGAACATTCTAGCGAAGTGTATATGTGTATATGGGTAAACGGTCATAATGTTGTGTTATTTTTTTACATCGAATTCAAATCATATTAATGTCATTAATTTAACGAATAAACCCCTATCTTTGCCCTAGCCACGTATCAGAGAAAATTGTTTCTGTCACACTATCATTTGCCGACTGCAATAATTTCGATATAAGGCCTACTGACGAGGAAGACGCTTCGAAAAGGTGATATTCCCTGTGTTATTTACATTTCGTTGCTAGGGTTACATCAGTCATTTCTATTGTTAGATATTGCAAGCCTGTCCGTTTCACACACTGACATGCACAGTGTTAATAACATACAACATAGTCATAGAAGGAGAACTTGATCACCATATTCCTTCAATCGATCAGGACCACGTTCCTAAGCAGATGACCCCAAAGGCTTCGAACAGAGAGAAGCATGTTTAGAAAGAGACTTTTTTGCGCGTCACCTCTTTAGGAAATTTAAAAAAATGACAAATTCTTCCATATTGAGTGTTGGTAGTAGTAGTACATCGCCAAGCAACGCAATTGTAATACTTTATAACTTGTGTCTCATCCTATTGTCATTTAATAAACAATAAAACATACACTTAAACATACATTATGCAAGAGCTAAATCTGTCTATTGCAGGTCTTTCTTTAGGCCTGAAATGTTATCTAAATTATTAATCTGGAAATGGAGACCGGTGCCCCAAGCTGTACTATACAGTGTCTGGATAAAACCAGACTTTTATTTCATAAAAATAATGTGTAGGTGAAATTTACCTTTCGTTATCAAGTACAGTACATACATCAAGCACTGTTTTGACCTCTAAAGACACGGTTATAGATTATTAGGTCACCCAATGAAAAACTGACCTGACGACCCCGACGTCTTAAAAGGTTTACGCGTCATGATGAGCGGTTTTGACGTTCACGTCTCAACGACTCAATATATTAAGCTGAAATTTTTAGACAATTTAATACACCATTCCTCTATATTTTGGCGATTAAATTTCATACGCACGCAGATTTTATTTCTGAGACTCTGTTAAAATCGGGATGGCCCCTTTAAGCTCTAACGGATCGTTATCTGACAGATGCTTGACTTTATACTACAATAATATAACAACAGGGTGTATTACCCGCCATATTGTTTTGACTTGTTGAAATAATTTCGCCTGCTATCATTTCACAATACTCACTAGTTCTAACTCTTTTCCTCATTTATATTGTTAACGAGACTTTATTTGATCATTATACCCCTCCCAAATCGAATTAAATTGGCCATTTTACATGGTTATTAATTACAAATCAAACTTGAAGCCTGTCACTTGGCGATTATTAACTGCGTCGGACCGAAAGTAGCACTTATATAAATGAGGTCCATGACGCCGTGTTGAGGAGGCCCATATTTTTGATTGGCCGAGGCTATGGGTTATATACTTGGACTGACAGCGGACAAAATGCCATCGTATAACGGGAAGTTAACGACATGTTAAAGTTAATGGGGCATCCAGCAACAGGCTTTCTCTCTGTTAAAAATTATGACACTCCATGTTAACGGGTCGTTTATGTTAAGCGAGCTTTGAACAACCGGTACTAGGTCTATTCTTCAAGTTAGTCAAAATGACGGGATGCAGTGCTTAGTTTCAATAGGGATATTCACGACCCATGTCGTCTTTGACGTTTGATGTCACTCAAGGAAAAAATCAAAACGAGGCTACAGATATGCAAAAATGTCAATTAGGGTTATTTTGGTACGTTTTTCCTTTGTGATAATATTCAGAATGACTTTGTAATGGCGCCCAAGGTGGCTGCATGTGTTTTTAGCTCTTACTATCTTGTGTGTTTTAAAGGATATAACAATCTTTAATCCATGCTAATTTTGGCATGTACCTGTGTTTTGATTTGAAGATCAGTTTAGTGGAACTTGTTTATCTATTTTATTGGATATATTAGCAGAAATTGCAATTTAGTTTTTATTCATGTTTTACTTCAACTGTGAGTTTATGTGAGTATGATCACCTACACCAAAGCTGAGTTGTTGAAGATTGGTGAGCTCTGTTATCAACATGCGAGGTTGGCAATGTTCTTCAAGATACACAGAGGACTAGTCCACATCAACAAGAACCTCCTTGTGCCTCCACTACGGCGTAGCAGAAACACACATACCATTCATACCAAGTTCCATCCTGATGTTCCATAGTGATTACAGGAAATATGCATACTTCCCAAGGACCATCAGGGACTGGAATGCTCTAACACCGAACATTCCTTCTTGATCGTGGACATTATCTGGCAGAAGCAGAAGAAGCATTCGCTGGTTCACCACTCACAAATTTTTCTCCTGCTTCAAATACAGAACTCAAGGATTTGATAAGTAAATCTTCGTCTTCTTCATTCAACCTTGATCCAATACCAACATGGTTACTTAAACTGTGTATAAATGAACTTTTACCAATAATTACACACATTGTTAATACATCAATTATGCATGGTAATGTAAGCCAGTTCACAAAAATCGCCCATGTTAAACCGCTACAGAAGAAACTAAATCTAGACCCGAATAACTTAAAGAACTTTCGACCTGTGTCTGATCTGTCATACATATCAAAATTAATTGAGAAAGTTATATCCACGAGACTAAAACATCATTTTGTTATTAATAGTCTTGACGAAAAATTTCAGTCAGCATACAAGAAGGGTCACAGCACTGAAACAGCACTGCTGAGAGTATATAACGATATTGTTACTAACATAGATAATAAACAGAACTGCTGAGAGTATATAACGATATTGTAACTAACATAGATAATAAACAGTCTGCGTATCATGATATTCTATTAAACCGGTTACAAACACGTTTGGCGTTGATGAACTATGTCTAAAAAGGATAGCTCTTATCTAACTGATAGGTCACAGTATGTAGTCATTGAGAAAGCAACATCGTCTTCAAAAACCCTACGCTTTGGAGTTTCGCAGGGGTCGGTTCTTGGTCCTCTTTTATTCACTGCCTACACAACACCAATTGGCGATATCATCCGAAAACATGGAATTAACTTTCATCTTTATGCTGACGACACACAACTATATCTTGCTTTGAAATCATCGAGTGACTCCACCGAAATCTGTAAACTTGAGGCTTGTATATGACATAAAAAATTGGATGAATCTTAATTTCCTAAAATTACTGTCTGTTCCAGGTAATACTACGACTCAAAAATAGCTTGTCATTTCTTCAAATTTTAATTAAAATGGCTAAAACTTTGTGAAATACCTCGAATGGTCAGCCCATTGCTTTCTTTCTTGTGAGAACTAATTCTGGGCCCTGTTTCACAAAAACTTAAATCTCCTTAAAATCGTCTTAAACTAAAATTCCATCCTAACTTAAGATAGATGCGTTTCACAAAACGATTTTAAGCATTTTAGATAAAATCCACTAAAATAATATTGTAAGTTAAAATTGTATCTTAACTTAAAATAGTGGCGTTTCACATAACTATTTTAGGGACAATTTTAACTAAAATCAATTTTAACTTAGGACAGCTGTCACCCTCTCCCAACTTAAAATCACGACATTAACACACATTGATTAGAGCTACCTTGTGAGATCTATTGCGACATATAGATAAGTTTGGAATAATGATAATATTGCCAATGGCCCGGGTTATATAATTTAAACATACTATCATTCACAAAAATAATTTTCATTCAATTTCTTTTCATTGCATGGGAAATATAGCTGCGGCCCACCCATTTATTTTATTGTAAGGCAATATAAGCAATTAGATGACGCCCGAAATTAAAACCCCAAGAACAAAAAAACCCCTCAAAACCCCAGTAAACAAAACTCTTTGTTACTATTTTAACTAAAATCAATTAAAATTGCATTTTAAGTTACAATCGATCTTCTTGAAACGCATAAAATTTAAAATTTCAGTTTGATTTTAGTTAAAATCTATTTTAGTGATTTTAGTTTAAGTTTTTGTGAAACAGGGTCCAGGTCAA